TAGATTAACGAAGAAAAAAGAAGGTTATATAGTGTTATTTGCTATTTTTTTGATGTTGGTGGTAAAGTGGTTATAAAGTGAAGTAAGTGTTTTGTGTTGAGGTGAGAATAAGTGATGTGTATTGGCGATAGCCGCTGGCGAAAAGAAAATACCTTAATGGCGGAAAGTTGAAACAAAACTAATTTTGACAAAATTATAAAACTCAGTTATGTCGATACAAGCTATAAGTAGGACCCAAGATTTCATCTTACCAGCGCTGTGTGTTAAATTTAATTAATTCCTTTTTTTTGTAAACTAAAAACGTTTAACTTTAGCTATTTTTTTCAGGATAAAAGTTGTTAAATAAAGCTCTTTTATTGTTAACATTTTTGTTATTATTACCCTTTATGGATTATGGTCAAATATCGTTCCTCGGACGTCTGATTTACGCTCAGAGTAAGTAAGTAGTAAAGAGAGGACAGTAAACAATGTTTGTGTCGTCATGATAATATGGTCGAGAATTCTAATTAGAGAGAAATAGATTAATATCTCTCTCTTTGTTTGTATTTGTCAGTTTTACAAAGCTTTTCTCAGACAATTATTCCAGTGTTTAATTTAAATTTGTTCGTGTTGTGGTGTTAAAAGTAATTGTTATTAATATTATATTCATAATAAAAAAGTCATATTTTGTTTCCACTTCATTAAAAATGCACCTATACCTACCTTTAAAAAAATTAACCCAGCGAAATTGTTTTACGGTACGCTACCTACTGCTGAGAATTCTAAAACGAGTGAGAAAGCCTTCATTAGAAAGAGAGATACTGATTATATGATAGCGAGATTAATATTGTATAACTTTATGCAGTGGTGGCCTATCTGCTATTATATTATCTAAGGATTTACGTCCCTAGGACATCCCGCAAAGGTCCCTATGACGTCCTTTTGGGATGTCCCAGGGACGTCCCCAAGATGGACGGAAACGGGACATTAGGACGTCCGATTGACGTCCCGATACCAAAAGAGGACGTCCTTTATGTCCCTGAAGGACGTCTTTTAGACGTCCATAAGACGTCCGTGTGCTATGTGGGAAAATGTGAGTTTTTAAAAGTTTATTGATTCGGAATAAAAATACAAAGTTCGTGTACCTAGGCCTAATAAGCATTTTTATATTATAATCATACCATACAAATCGGGCATCATTAGTCTGGGGACTTTTAATCAATCTCATAAATAATGATGTATGCATCACTTCATACTATATTTGTATGTTTATGTATTTATATGTTTATGTAACATAAATTATGTTTGTCCACGACCACTTAATAATAAATCAATATTCTACCTCCTAACTAAAAACATATGGTACCCATATATCACTAGAGTGAATTATAATTCACGCTTTTGTAATTCTGGCAATTTCCGGTAGATGGGCGATACTTTTCATAACGATATTTTCTAGATCGAAAAATCAGAAATTCGAAAAATTGGAAAATCGGAAAATTGAAAAGTCGAAAAATCAAAAATCGAACAATCAGAAATTCGAAAAATTGGAAAATCGGAAAATTGAAAAGTCGAAAAATTAAAACGAAAAATCGAAAATCGAAAAATTAAAAAATTGAAAAATTGAAAAATTGAAAAATCAAAATCGAAAAATTGAAAAATCTAAAATCAGAAATTTGAAAAATTGGAAAATTGGAAAATTGAAAAGTTGAAAAAACAACAGTTTAATAAAAAATTTCCATTCTATACTTAACTTTTATTTAATAAAGAAACCATAATGGTCGTGGACAAAGTATAGTATTAGAATCGCAATTTATGGCCATTATTCACTCGGGTGACTAATGGCTACCATATTATAATAAAATATATAAAAAATACGTTTTAAAAATGAGGGTATCTACATCTAATTACCTCTTATTGTTATTATTTTGGGTTCAACAATTTAACTACCTCACTGTGGCTCTTTCCACGGCACAGCGCTTTCGTCTAAAGCATTCAAACAAATGAGATGGATGCGAGTCCGAGCTCTATACTCGGACAATATATTGAAGAAGGTGATTATTCCTTTCCTGTTCACGTACAACAATCATACTATACCAGAGCATAATGAATGGAATCACTCGCTTAAAACTGCAGAAATTATCTAAATCACGTGCCAACTAGTCAAAAATGCATGTTTATTACCAAAATGAATTACGCCAGTGGCGTATAAAAACTATTGGCAAATTAAATGCGGTAATAGTAAATAATCTGAATAATATGAAAGTAGGTTGGTTATCTATTTTTGTAGTAATAATCATTTATGTTTATAATTTTGTTTTGTTTATTGTTAAAATATGTAAATATTATGCCAGTGGCGTAGAAACACTTGGAAAATTAAATGGGGTATTATTCTAGAACAAAATATTAAAGAAGGTGCGCCTTAAAACTGCAAAAGGTATCGTTATCATATCAAAATGCACTCTTCCACTGTCGCAGAAATACTATATTGGCAAATTAAATGGGTATTTGTGAATATTACTAGATGAAAGTAGGTTTTGGTTATCTATTTTTGTTATAATAATTCATCTATGTTTATAATTGTATTTTGTTTATTATAGAAATATGAATTCTAAATCTATGAAGTTTCGTAATCCATTGATTCTGCAGAACTATCACTGGAATCGTCTTTATCTACGGAACTTAAAGTTATGACTAAAGGTTCAACTACCGTTTCAATCATACCGTCCAAGCACCACGTATTATTTCCTTCCTTAATTACATGGGAAATAGCATTCTGCCAATCTTCAGGTTTTATACGTTCTATACCGGTTTTTATTAAACTTTGAACGTCGGCTATTTTAAAAGTTTTATTTTCTCGAGCTACAAACCCTTTCACTTGCGCCCAAATTAGTTCAATAGGATTGAATTCGCAGTGATAAAGGGGAAGTCTTGATACCGTAATACCACGATCACGAGCCATTGTGTCGACAACATATTGAATATATTTATGGCGGTGTTCCTTTATTAGGTCCATTAATTCCACTTTAAGCATCTCCTCAGTAAATATTATTGCTTTATTCCGCAGCGAGGTTTACATATCCGCTTTCCTACTGGACATTATCGGAATGCGTTCAACTCGTCGACTGTCATAAGAAGCGTTATCTAGTACAATAACTGAATTTCGTTCTACACGCTGTAATACTTCAGTAAACCATTTTTCAAAGCATTCCGCATTCATGTCCTCGTGGTAGTCTCCTGTTTTTTCGATATAAACACAAGAGCGCTATTTTCCAAAAATCGAAATGTCACTTTTGATATAGGTAACAATTATGCGCTGTCCTTTACCTGATGGTGCTTTCAAACCTGTAGATAATCCCTCTATAAAAGGTTGGCGATGACTAGTTACAGAAGTATTTTGCCATATCTTAGATACCGTGTGTCCAGCATTCACCCACGTTTCATCGAGAGAGTATATCTTTTTTTTAGCGGCTCTAAACTCTTTAATATTTCGTAAATAACACCGTCGCCAGGACACTATATCTGATCTCTCAATTAAAATTGATTTCCTACACCGTTTGACAAAACAAAATTTTAGGCCCCATAAATCTTTTCGTAAAGTTTCACGACTCATTAATGGACTTTCTTCGTTTTCTTTTAATTTCATAAGAAAAGCTTCAATTGTTTTCGAAAAAAAAAAAAAGTATATGCAGTTCTTTAAATGATTTGTTTTTGGTTATCGTCCAATTTCAACAATTTTCGACCACGGATATGCATTTTAGGGGTTTCTATATAAGGAGCCTTTTTTTGTCTTTTCGCGTACATGTTCAATTGTTGAAACAGTTACTCCAGTTAAAAAAGAACTGCGGTTTACAGCTTCATTTGTAGGAAGTGTCTGTTCCATATAATGTTCTTTTCATCCTTTGATAAGGGCTTTCGCCGACGTAATTGGGTTTCTCTTGGACCCACCTCTGAATCCATTAACTATTGTAACAATATAATTCTACTATTAAATTGTTTTTATTAAATTTATAAAGACACCAATATTTTACTATTTAATAAACTTTTAAAGTACCTACCTAATATACTATAAATATAACTCCTCGAATATGCATTACCACTACCAAATTGTAAGGCACAAACATGAACACCTACTCGTATATCAGAAAAGAGTACTTATACAAAAAAGTGTTTATAAAATATAAAATAATTATCGTAAATAGTTAAAGCGATACAAATCTAACTTCGTCGAAAGTTAGTTTTCAACTGTCTTTGTGCCTGTGCTGACAGCATTCAATCTGTAACCCGTCTGTCGTTTATTTACTTGAAACACATTTTAAAACCATTAAACACAGGTAACGAAGTCATTAGGGAATAAATATATTCATTTCTTGAAAACTATCAAAAACGCATATTTAACGCATCATCTTTGTTTAAATAAAGATGTTGACAAACAAATTTAATAAAGTTTACTAGCAAATACCTAATAAATAATTATCTGGTATTTGATACGCCGCCTATGCTGACTCTGTCGGAATTTTCATTCATAGACAACAGTGTTGATCATGCATATATGACCCACCTTCTCCAATATTTTGTCCGAGTATAGTGACCCGTTTGAACAGGAAAGTAATTCTAATTATTAATTACTTTTTAACTAGGAATTACCCAGCTCTAATGGAGCCCCGGGGCAAAACACTGACAAGGGCCCTTCCCCCACATATTAGTAGTCTATTTTTTAAAGCTGCTGTGATTTTGTCCCCCTGTCCCTTCCTCTCGACGGTTCTGCTACTCGTTGATGATTTATTATTAATTTTAATTACAAATTGTGACTAATTACAACCGAAACCGGCATGTGATTCCATTTCATTGATCCTCTAAAGAGGTTGAGAACATAATCGCCTACAAACTCGATACACGCTCCTTCTTGCCTTTAGCAGCTTCAGTTCGGAGAATCACCCTGTATAGTGTTGAATCGTTTCTTGGTTTATGGGCTGGATAATCAACTTGTTAAAGATCAATTGTTAATCCTTTTTTAAAAAAGAAGAAGGAAACTACGAACTTAACCTAACTAAGTCTAACTAACTTCTCGTTTATTTGGTAACTTATTTTTCTAGAAAATAATCGAAAATCACGAGCAAGTTATTATTATCGCTGTCAGTCATTAAAAAATTTATGTGTAAGTAAACTTCATTAATAGATTGTCCTTTAATAAATATCATCGTCTGTGATTTCAAAACATTTCGTAATATCACACCACATTTATTTCTTACCTTTCTCGAGTGGCTGTTAACAACTTTTGCATCGACTTACAGTTTTTAGTGAATAATAATAAATCAATCGAACATGGCTATGTTGGTGGTTACGAGGCTCTGCAAAGCTCCAACTTTACAGAAAGTATCAATTTTAAATCAGTCACAGAGATTCAATGTTTATAGAACATTTACAGAAGGCAAAGATGCTGCAACTAGAGCTGCTAGAAGGCAAAAATTGGGTATTAAAGAAAAACTCATGACGCCGGCTGGGGATACAGGTAATAACTCTTAATTTTATGTATTACTGTTAGTTTAAAATATATGTTAATTAATATCATATAAGGAACACATTTCTATTATTCCCTGTTATTTGAGTTTATCAAATGGCCAGAGCAGACGAGGTTAAGGTTCCAATACCTCTAATCTATTTGAACAATTATAATTGAATTGGTGAATTCGAAAAACGTACATGTCCAAAATCAGCCTTCAGAGAAAAACAATAAAAACCTTTTTACAAGTCACGAATAAGTACGGTTTTTCGCCTAATTTAACGGGTGTAATCAGCTGTACTATGTTAACGGATAGGTATCTAGTACGGTTTTTAAGTTCAATCTATGAAGAGACAAATTTTAAACAAAATTGCTCTTACTTTAAAATGTCAAATTTTGTACTTGTACAGTTTTCGAACTCAACTATTAAATTACTTTACCCTTGATTTACTAGTAGGTAAGAAACTTTGAAGAATCAATACTAATCAAATTCTGTGGTAAATCCTTAATTTTTCAGAATAACATACTGTACCTACTTGTAAATCGATGTAAATACTTTATTAATTAAAAATTTCCAGCCTTGGTAAAATAGGAGTCAATTATTAATATATTGAGTGTATACTTATTAGTCACTATATTTCTAATAGGTAAGTTTACTAGCCACAAAAATTGGTGTGTTTGGTTTTATCAGTTTACAAAATATGACATTGGTTGTGGCAACTTTAAAATTTCAATGTCAAGAAAAATCATCTCTAGAATTTTAGAAAAATGTAATCTTAATTGATTCTTTTATTAAATCTACTTTTATTTTTAGAACTATTTAAAGTTATAGGCATTTCACAAACCTACTTTTGTACATGTATTTTGCTTGTAGATTTTTTAAAATTACACATTTGATCCAAATTGTGGACCAACTCAGTGTTTCTCACAGTAGTTCTCACTTCTCCCCCCAAACACTTGTTTGATGCACAGAATTCTTGTTTTGTCAATTCTAGACCATTATTAATCATTTCATTTTTGATGTCATGGTGTTTCATACTACTAGAACATTAAACCCTTAAAAAGAAGGCTCCCTCTATGTACAATCTATCCAAGACGACACTGTATAATCCATTAATAAATAATTCATGGTGAATATTTGTTTTAGCATTTTCTGTGGGAAGAGGAGCTTTAGCAGGTGGTTCTGTTCTTGGAATAGGAGCTCTCGCTTATTATGGTCTAGGAATGGGTAGTGGAGTTGGTGCACTTGAAAAACAACAGTAAGTGTAAAATATAATGGCCGATCCACAATTTTTTAAATTTATTTATTTAATTATATACAGGGTGTACCAATAAAAACTCCCAGGCCGGATATGTTAGTAAGTAATAGAGATATTTTAATTCTATAAAAGTCAGTTCATGGAGCGCTAAGAGAGCTTCAATTTTAGATATAAATTAATTTTAAATAGGTCAATATGTAGATGGCGCTATGCTCAATATATTTTTTTCGATGGAAGGATCTTTCTTATATAACGCATCTTGTAAAAAATGCATTTTTAGGCAGATTTTGTTCAATAAACTAATTCGATAAATCTAGCCATTTTTGATATACAGAGTGGATCACTCAAAACAGTTTCATCCTGTTTTTCAGCATTAATCATTGGATTTTAAGAAACTGTTGAAACAGGTCGATTTTTATTCCAAATTAAAAACATTTTTACAATACAGACATCTGTCATATGTCAACCCCCTCCCTTGCACCTCTCCAACACCTTAATTTTAAATAGGTAATGTACCATGTATGGCACATCATTGAAAAGGTAATTTAATGGAGAATTCAGAAATATTTTTGTATATTGCGTTACTTAAATTTTATCCTCCTCTAGCTGGATAAAAAAACTACTATGTATTATAGAGTGTGACACTACAATGTGTAGTATATCATTAAAAAGGTAATTTTATAGGGAATTTAGAAATATGACTGTTCATTGTAATACTTTTAATTGTACCGCCCTCTATCGGGATAAAAAAACTGCACGTATTATAAAGTGTGACATCTTATTTGAAAGCAAATTTAATTACGAATTTAATGTATCACATAACATTAATATAAATGAAGACACAAGTGGATGAAGGGCCTATGTAACATTTTTTTTAATGGTGTTTATCTGTGAATGAAGGGCTTATGTACCTAAAATTCGTTTAAAATGTCTTTCCTGACAATATATTATCAAATATAGAAGTTGCCAGTTTATAAAGGACCCATGTACTAAGGAATAACTGTCAAACAATAAACTTTAACACGAAATATCTCATAAAAATTATTTTGCTACATAGGCCCTTCATCCGTCTTCAAATATCCTCCATATTACACTTGCAATAGTTTGAAAATTATTCATGCATTATTTTAAACATTATTGCTAACTTTATTTTGTTGCAAGTGCAATATGGAATTATTTATATTAATGTTATGTGGTGGTGCATTGAATTAATAATTAAATTAGCTTTCAAATAAAGTGTCACACTTTATAATACATTACAGGTGTTTTATCCCGATAGAGGGCGCTAAAATTAAAAATATCGCAATAAACTGTCATATTTCTGACTTCCCCATAAAATTACCTTTTTAATGATGTGTCGTACATGATACATTCCTTATTTGGGGTTGGAGAAGTAGAAGGGAGGGGGTTGACACATGACAGATGTCTGTATTGTAAAAATGTGTTCAATTTGGAATGAAAATCGACTTGTTTTAGCATTTTCTAAAAATCTGATTAATGCCGAAAAACAGGATGAAACGATTTTGAGTGACCCACTCTGTATACAAGAAATGGCTAGATTTATCGAATTAGTTTATAGAACAAAATCTGCTTAAAAATTAATTTTTTACAAGATGCGTTATATAAGAAAGATCCTCCCATTGAAAAAAATATATTGAGCGCAGTAACATCTACCTATTGACCTATTTAAAATTAATTTATATCTAATACTAAAGCTCTCTTAGCGCTCTATGAACTGGCTTTTACAGAATTAAAATATCTTTATTACTTACTAAAATATCCAGCCTGGAATTTTTTATTGGTACACCCTGTATACCAATAGGATAATTGCCTTTTCATTAACATACAGTAAAGGTTAAATGATATAACTCTCTTTTTCTTCTAAATCTTTCTTTAGATTCATGACTTCTTCTATATATCGGTTTTCGTTAGCTTCTTCCTCTGCCTCAAACTTATTTTCTTCTTTGAGCGCTTTATCCTGACATACAATTGAACAGTAGATTTTATGGACACCAAGTCTCATTACATTCTTTTTCCTTTCTAGACAACTCGAATGAAATACTTCAAAACAGATAATGCAACAAAAGTTTAGAAACGGTTTAGCTTTACAGCAAATAAAAGTAGGTTCTATTTTCACTAGTAATACCACTAAAGGTCAAAAAATTTCCTGATATTAATTTGACCTCGCGTGGTATTCGGTAAGAAAATTCCACGCCGAATTATGGTTGAAAATTAAATATTTTTAAAATTTATTTTTCGTTTCTCAACAATGCAAATTATTTTCTCCAAGTCACCAGTGAAACATAAAAGGGGTTGTCGCCTTGATTGTTGAGTTGTCATGGTAATTAAGTGAGACCCTAACCTCGAATATAATTTCAGTTTTGAAGTTGTCAAGCGGCCCGACGTAAAAAATTGTTTCGCTGCAATTATTTAGGCCTTCAAATTGCTTATTTCTACTCATTGTAGTTGCATGGGAATACCATTTGAAAATAGAAAATAGTATATTCTTTAATTTTACGTAAGTTTTAAATAACTACAAGTGGTAGAAAATTGTTTTTCTGCGTTTTTATTAACATGCGTTATGAGCGCTTTAAAATGGTATGAAATTCATAACCAGCGTCAGCAAGCATCAATCGTAGGAGGCTGTGATCTTTGTATTTTGACAGTTCAAAACATTAAATAACTCGCGTTTTGTTGCGATAAAGAATATTGCACAGCAAGTAAAACCAACAAAATTACCTATTTGTTTGAAAATGAATCGATTTGAAAATCATACGCTATGCAAAATATGCGTGAAATTGTCTGATGTAATGATCAATCATTGCACCATGACTTACTTACTCGGATTAATAGAGCATTGTGGCTCCAACTTGAAAAACGAAAATTTGTTCCGAATTGTCCACGAATATTTGCACCTAAACTACGCAAAATTCAAAGTGCTGAATGGGAAAAAGGTGAATAAATTAGTGTCTAAATATTATATATATTTTATTAGACATAGACACATAATTCAAAGCATCCAAAGTCCTGCATTTTCGCCATTAAGAAGAAAAGAAGTGGCCGAAGAATATAAAAAACACCTTAGCATTGTAACTAAAATGTATCAAAACTATACCTATTATGTGAACAAATAAAAACCAGTCTGTCAAAAATGGTCTGTTATTTTAAACGTCAAAAAATTTCCAGTATAATTCGCTGTTGGGTACCCCACGAGAAAAAAATTTCCACTAAAATACCTCCGTTGCCATGGTGATCTGTCAAAAACACGTATTTTGATTGGTTCAAAATTATAGGTGTGGAATTTTCCATAAAATTGGTCGATTTAAATATCCAGTTTAAATATCTAGTACGCTACTAGACGATAACTATAATTAACGATTTATTAGTTTCTTTGATGGTTTTTTTACACAAAAGTATTTATTTTTATCAATAATTTTAATTATCAAAGTTTTGTTTCAAACACAACTTTTCGCGAAAGTTATTATTTCACATTAAAGATTAGAACGTTAGCTTCACTTTAATATAAAATTTATTATTTTCTGTTAATTTTTTCTAACTAAATTTGATATTTTTATTATGTAATGTTTATATCTGTATTTTATATGTATATTAGAGTTAACTTCTAATGTACTGTATATTTATTTGTTTGTCAACAAGATTTTATCTTAGACAATAAATGCTAGTTGTAATCAGTAAAATACTATGTATCTCAGTTATAAAGATTGCAAGATCCATTAAATATGTTTGTCCACGACTGTTCTATAACATTCATTATACTTGTACTTCCTTAAGAATAATAATACCTATTATTCACTAGTGAATAATGATCCATTAGTCACGGTATGACGTCACGACAGCACGTATGTCTAAACTGATATGAAAATATTCTTTAGAGGTAATCAAAAAATCGAAAAAAAAATCGAAAAATCGAAAAATAAAAAAAAAAAATCGAAAAATCGAAAAAAAAAAAAAATCGAAAAAAAATCGAAAAATCGAAAAAAAAAATCGAAAAAAAAAAATCGAAAAAAAAATCGATAAAAACGAAAAATCGAAAAGTTGAAAAAACAACATTTAGTTACCTATGTTTAATAAAAACTTTCCATTCTACACTTAACTTTTATTTAATAAAGAAACCATAATGGTCGTTGCCAAAGTTTAGTATTAGACTCGCAATTTATGGCCATTATTCACGCAGGGTGACGTTTGCGTCCCGAGCCGTAGGCGAGGGGCGCAAGTTTAATATAATATTAGTATATTTTGAATTGCATCGATGACCTCTTTCTACCATTAAAATATTTACTTTTAACTATGAAACACTTTGTATAATATATGATAATTTCGTCAAAAAAGTGCTCACACTTTTATTTAATTTCAGTTTGTGGCCCGATTATGTGAAAGACCGAATCAAGTCAACATATATGTACTTTGGAGCTTCTATTGCAGTCACAGCAGCCAGTGCTATGGCTGCCGTAAGGTCCCCAGTAATCATGAATATTGTTATGAAAAACGGATTAGTGGTAAGTTAATATCGTTTGCAAAATACCTAGTATTTCATAGGAAAAATAAAAAATTATTAGTAAGAGAAAGATACATTTTTTGCATTGTTATTTAATAAATATATGTATTTTTTAAATTTTTAGGGTTTGGGTATAAGTTTGGCAGCCATAATGGGCACAGGTATTTTAGCTCAAAGCCTCGAATATAAAGAAGGTTTTGGTCCCAAGCAAATGGCCTGGTTGCTACATGCAGGCACGATGGGTGCAATGTTGGCTCCAATGTGCTTACTTGGAGGACCCCTGTTAATTAGAGCTGCATGGTACACTGCTGGGGTTGTTGGAGGACTTAGTACAATAGCAGTAAGTATTTCTTTATTTTTATTTAACCCATTCACAGCGAGAACATTGTACAATCCAAACAAAACGAAATTTAAAGAAAAAAAAAGGTGATTTCTTCTATTTTTAACATTTAATAAGAAGAGAACTTGTTTTTAGTTAAATTCCTAATTTAATATTTTTCCTTTTCTAGGTTTGTGCACCAAGCGAGCAATTCCTTTACATGGGAGGACCTTTGGCAATGGGTCTTGGAGTAGTTTTTGTTTCATCAATAGGTTCAATGTTCCTTCCTCCAACCACTGCTTTAGGCGCTGGATTGTATTCAATAAGTTTGTATGGCGGTCTTCTTCTTTTCTCAGGGTTCTTACTTTTTGACACGCAAAGAATTATTGCGCAAGCTGAAAGGTATCCAACCAGCCCCGGACCGTATGGAGTCAGGCCTTATGATCCTATCAATGCGTAAGTTAAATTATAATGTTTTTTTATTTATAATTCATACACGACTGATTGGTATTACGGTTTGACATGAAACAATTGCTGTAATTTAAGTTTGATATTAGTGTTATTCATGAGGTAGAAAGTTGGGAGGCGCTGTCACGTGGTTCAAGACGGGTTCATTTTTGCTATATTGCGTTCACGAATCCTTCAAACAGCTAATCGTGGTTCAACCTTTTTTCTATTTTTATGTCGTTTGCAAACTAAATATATTGTACATATTAAAAGTTAAACATTGGTTGCTTGTGCTCAACGTAGTTTTAGCAACCTAATAGATATTTATATGAAGAAACTATCTGAAATAACATTCCACAACTAAATATACAACATTAGGTTCTTTCGTTCGTCCCACTGGTGTAGTTGGGTGTAGTAATGAACTACACCAACCCACACCCATACCTTTCGTTTGGTCCGGTGTAAAACCCACTATACCTTCCTGTCGGCGATGTGGTGTACACTGGTGGATATTTTCTGCACCAGCTATTTAGCAGGAGTGAATTACACTCGGCGATGTGTATAAGGAATAAGGAGGAAGTAAATTAGGGTAAATAAGGTGGTGTAACTGGTGTAATTTACACTGGTGGACACTACACCAATAGCGAACGAAAGAACCTATAGTAAACAATGTGCAGGGCCGTATTTGAGATATTCTCTTTGTTATCTTAAATTCTAGAAATTTACTTCAGTTTCATTATAAAAAAATTATGAAGGTATAGAAGCTTTTTTAAATGACATGGATAAGTATATTAGTGCCTTAAAAACATGTAATTTACAACACCGACTCACATTTACAGTTTTTACCAATATGCCAAATATCTCAAGACCATTGTATTCGCTTACCTGGAGGCTACAACAATAACTCCACCGGCCAGCAATTTCTGGGGAGAAAGTGATTTCTCTCAAGATTTTCATGAGAAATGTCATACGTCATCGTAAAAACAGTATTTTTAAAGCCAGTGAAAACTCGCAAACTGTTTCTTCTGGTTTATTTCGAGAGGATTAAAATTCTCTCAAGAATTTGAATTCTCATTGGATTTAAAAATACTGCTTTCACGTTGACATATGACATTTCACATGAAAATCTTGAGAATAAGTCCGTAACTTACAAAAATTATTAATGTTGAAGTTTTCGTGGAAATTGTATTCCTCTATCTAGAAAGGTTTCGAATTTTAAAATGTCCTCTTTGTCAAATCAACGAATCGTCAAGAGACTATAGAGCTCTTGGCTTATCAGAGAGTTACGATAATGTGCCAGACGTTACTGAGCATGATCAAATTATTTACTAAATTCTACGCCATCGGGATTTACAAAATATATTGTTATACATATATTTAAAGTGACCATATTTTGAAAAGTAAAAAGTGGGATAAATCGAAAACAAGGATATATTTCTACGAATTATCTTTGCAGTGGTGACGGTTTGATTCATTTAAGAGCAAAAAAAATATATAAAAGAGTGGGATGTCACGTCACCATAAAAATTGAAATATTTATATTTTTTTCGTTAAACAAAAGCGGGACACATGTTAAATGGAGACTAGTGGTTTAAAATCGAGACTGTCCCGCCTAAATTGGGACAAATATTTTCGTTTATTGACAAAAAAAAATAAAAAAAGCCTATAGTATATCCCTGTATGCTCTATGGATGTTAGACGTTTGTCTTTAATTTACTTTAAGTTATCCACCTTATTTTAGTAAAATGTGTAACGTGTTCAGTGCTACAGGTAATTTATAAATTAAAATATATTTATACAAACATTAGGATGGTTTACCTCATTAAAAATAAATTTAAAAAATGTGATAGCATAAGACATCATAACAATAAAATTGTTTTTTTTTGAATGGCCAATATAAACATAATTTTTATATTATTTGTTATTTTGCCTTAATATATTGTTACGCAGGTGTTTGGTATCTCAATTTATTTTAACTCAACTTTTACAATAACTACAATTCAACTTTAACAATAACTATCCAACTGATAACATTAACGTTTAACGTCTGTCATAAAACAGAACTCTTACGTCAGGTCGTCGGCTTATATAGCTTGCCTCGACCTTCTAGAACCTTCCAATGACATATATAGATTAATAGACTGCTCATCCATATATAAACAAGACGACGAAAAGCGGGTCAAATTGCTTGGCTTGCCGAGTGCTCACCAGGCAGAATCGGTCTGGCCCAAATGAGTTTAAAACTCATATTTCATCAAAATAGGAATTTAATTAAAAAAAAAATTATCTGTATGTTTATTTCAAGACAGGAGCTTGCGTTAGATATTATAAAAAAGGATTTTGAGTCATAATGTCTAGTTTCCCAATTTTCAAAACATTTTAAGAGATCTAACCAATTTTGAACATAGATATAAACAATTTTACACTAATGTGTATATAACTAACTTTAGACCACGACCACTGTATAGTGGCACTATTCGGACACTTGATTATTCTTTTAAAATTTATTTCGCATTATAAAAGCAGATATTATGCAAAAATTGAATGAACTTTTTAAAGATTTTACTAAAAGTTAGTAGCTTTTTCACATTCTAAAGTTTGTTCCCTTTAGACAATTAAGGATTATTTTGGCGGTGAATGTGAATTATTTGATAAATAATAATAAGATTCCACCAGTGGAAATCTGATCAACATCATAGTAAAATGAACTAGGTACAAAGTGCAATCTTAGTTGACGTCAAGATCCGTTTAGCATCGGTAAGGGGGAAAGAAAGATTTTGACTTACAATCACAAAGAGAACGTACAACTAAGCTTAGTCGATGTAAGTTAGCTCAGATTAGTGGTAAAAAGGAAGCGACTATTAATAAAAAGAAAAGTAATCCAGCTAAAACAAGAATTATGGCTACTGTCTTTAATAATGATATGTTGCCAGTACTAGTAGAATGTTAAGTGTTGAGTTATCTTCTTCAGGCAATGGATGTACGTATGCATAATTTAAAATGTTTGGTTAATTATTATTATTATGTTTAATGTGTTTTTGCAGTTAATGAACATATATCTACTACTGAAGCAGATAATGAAGATTTGTGTGCTGCTGAAGAGCTTTGCTTAGTTTACAAAACTTCGTTTAAAAGCAGAACATTGGGATCGATTGTTCAACACAAGTGAAGAGTGGTGATTTAGTTGATCCGTTTTCAAACAGAATTGTCAGTGCTAAAGAACTATCTACTTTAATAGGATTGCAATCCTTCCAGTTATTAGCCACCATTGTGGAATTCGTTGTTTCTAAAGAATAGGAAAAAGGAGATCAGTTATGTCTGTAAAGGATCAAGTTATATTTACTTTTATGAAGTTGAAAACTGATATGCAAGATATAATGTCTTATCTATTTTATTTGGAGTGAATGAAACTTTTTATCATTAAATTTTTTAACATTTTTTAATAAAACTGGTAGAAGTTCTTAGTATGGTATAATTCGGCCTTCAAAACAAGAAATATTAAATAATTTGCCTCTATGTAAGTAAGAGTACTACTTGATTGTACCGAAATCCCAATACAGCAAGCCAAATGTCTTTGTTGTAGGCTAAAAAATTACTCTGACTACAAAAAGAGGCATACTATTAAAATATTGACTGGAGTGTCACCTACTGGTCTCATTACTTACAAAAGTGAAGCATATGATGGTAGAACTTCAGAAATAGACATTTTTTAACAAAGTTCAATACTTGAAGTGTGTGAATCATTTCTCGATAGTAAAATGTTTAACAAAGGTTTTCTTATTGGAAACATAACAGAAGCTGAAGGTATACAAATTATACAGCCTCCTTTCCTCAATAAAAAAAATCAGTTCAGCCATCAAGAGGCTTTACTTAATGCCAAAATTGCCAGAGCTAGAATTCACATAGAAAGAACCTATCAAAAAATAAAAGTGTTTGTCTCTCTGTATTGGTACTTATGTCCGTTTTTCTTCTATTTATATTGTTTTTATTATACGATACTTCTCTGTATCTAACTAAATTTTAAAATGTACTTGTAAAGCCCAGATAGCTCTAACTCGGGCCTTTGAATATAATAATATTTATGTAATTGTATTTACAATACATACTTTATTATTAATATTATTATTATAATTAATTATAATTCATAAAATTATTATAAACGTATTTACCTTGTACCTACTTGTATTGATACTTGCGTGGGAAATGAAATGTTACTTTTTATATTTCTGTAGCTGGTCTTACAACCCTTTATAGAGCAATTCACCATTTAAATTTAAAAACAAAACAAGTTTTTATACTCAAATAATTAAAAAATTTAAAGCAGAACATAAGTATGATTAAAACTAAATAAAATAAACAACTCAACAAAATGTCCGACTGAGTAATGACAATGAGAACAAAATCTCAACTAGACTACTTTAAAACCGGTCCTGTGAAAGTTTTGTTTACCAGTGAGCACTCAAAATTGAGACAAAACACAAACATTGCATGCACTAGACAAAGAGAAAACATCTCCCAGTTCGACCTGCTTTTCATCGTTTTATTTACGTATGGATAAGCAGTCTATTTAAACTATATATGTCATTGGAACCTTCTCGAACAATCTAGACTTTTCTTTGACAAGGATTGACATTTCGAGACATTTCTGGACTATTCTCTTCTTCATTTACTCGTACCTTTACTTATGACGACCGCAGCACGCTACAGGGTGCTGCGTAACAATATTTTCAATTAATACCTACCAATTGTTTGATTATTCTATGTTATATCAGTTTCGGTATAAAATAACAGTTATGTTAAGCCATGATATATTAAATGAAATTTCTAGACTTTATTATTCTATAAAATACTATCTTCCACTTGCACATTTTTTATTCCTTGAAACTTATTTTATTAACAAGTGGAATTATCGGTGGAATTACTAAAAATTTGTTATTATGACCTTAATCATTCATTTTATAACAATAAATATTGCTTACATTTTCTAAAAAAAACAAAAAAAATTATAATAATAATAATAAATAAAAATGTAGATTTGGGTTTCTTTCAGAAAAGTACGTATCTGGCGGATCGGCCATATTGGGTTGACAACATTTACGCCAAGTTATACCGTTTTGAATGTTTAAAAAAGACTTATAGCGTTTGTCCTACCTTATAACTTCATGGTGTTATTAAACTAATTTTTGAAATGTGTTATGTACATTTAAATATACAGGGTGATGCATAACTATTGGGACATAGGCGAAGGGCAGGTTATTTGGACCAAAATATGGCGATTGGACCAAATATACCTTTATAAAATATGGCTGTGGAATAAGATACAGGGCGTTAAAGTTGAATTTGTTTTCGTTTTTTTTTTCTGATAATGTCACTGTTTATTTATGAATTGTTATCAAAATCGGCACAAAGGCATATCTTTGAAAAAGTAAAATTATTTTATGTAATATTTCACATTTTGTTACAGGGGGCGCCACGTGAATGATTCCTGATGATGAAATTAGGTGGTAACTTTTTTTGGCGAAACTTTTTAGTGCTTTTGATTAGAAAATATTACCTAAAAATTATTTCTACGTAATATTGGTACTTTTGTTTAAACACGATAATTTCACCTGTTTTCGGGAAAAACGTAATTGAACAGTTCAGTGTCTCAGAAGAGGATTCCAAATAACACAATAAGAAAACTTGTAACGTAAGGCTTCTATTTCAACGGTAAAGCAAAATTAAAAACAATTTAACATAAAAAAAGCAAACTTAAATTAAATGTTCAATGTGACCTCCTCCGACTTCTATGCCTTTTCTAATTCTTTTAATAAAGGACTTTCGAATGGCAAAGAAAATATTATTCTGTCCCCTTATAAAATTACCCGCATTTTGTATGTTCCTCCAGAGTTCGTCTCGTGAATTAATTTCCTGGGTATAAACTAAGGACTTCATATGTCCCCATACATAAAAATCAAGAGGGTTATAGTCAGGACTTCTTGGTGGCCATTCAAAATTACTTCGTCTGCCAATCCAACGTTGAGGAAATATGTCACTTAGATAATTTCTAACAACTAATGGGAGCTCCATCCTGCATAAACCACATTTTCCTTCTTACATCTAGTGGCGTATCATCCAAAATATCTCTAAAAGTATTTTGCAAAAAAAATAAATAGAAATCTCCATTTAAATTTGGAGGAAGACGATATGGCCCTAATAGTTGGTCGCCTATAATGCCACACCAAATATTAAATTTAAACTCATGTCTTTCTTTACGAGCATGCGGGTTTTCTTCTTCCCAGTGATAACTGTTTCGATAATTAAAAACACCTCGTCTAGTAAAAGACGCTTCATCGGTAAACATAATATTTTTAATAAAATTTCGGTCATCATTATGTTTGTTGAGAATACGTTGGCAGAACTGTAATCGTCTTGGGAGATCTCTTGGAAGCAAATTTTGAACAGGAGCGAAGGATAAAGATGAAACTTTTCTTTTTTTAAAACTCTAATAATAAACGACTGACTTACTCCTGTTGTTATTGCCAGTTGACGTGAACTTACTTCAGGATTTTCATCTACTCGAACCAAAATTTCATCTTCTTCATTAGGTGTGATTTGTTTTGGACGACCACCCAGATTTTTACTATGAAATGACCCGGTTTCAAACGATGAAATAGATTTGCAAAAGTTTTGTGATTTGGTTGCCTTCTGTCTGGATATAACAATTCATACCTTTTGGCTGCCATGCGACCGCAAAAATTTTCTTGTGCATATACACAAATCATATCCCGCATTTCTTCATTCGTAAAATGATTGTGACGAGGCATTTCAGTCGAAAAAGCTTTAAAAAAATGCAACAATAGACTATAATCTCACAGCAAAAATAATTCATTGGCAAGAACTGACATTTACCAGACACAATTATCTGACAGTCCAAAGCACACTTTTCATAAATAAAATATTTTTTGAAATTTCCTTCTGAGACTCTGAACTGTTCAATTGCGTTTTTCTCGAAAGCAGGTGAAATTATCGTCTTTAAACAGTAGTACTAATATTACGTAGAAAATGTTTACGTAATATTTTCTAATAAAAAGCACTAAAAAGTTTCGGCAAAAAAACTTACCACTTAATTTCATCATCAGGAATCATTCTCGTGGCGCCCCCTGTAAAAAAATGTGAAATAATACATAAAATAATATCCCTTGTCGAAAGATATGTCTCTGAGCCGATTTTGAAAACAATTCATAAATATACAGTGACATTATAAAAAAAAACGAAAAAAAAAATTCAACTTTAACGCCCTGTATCTTATTTCACAGCCATATTTTATTAAGGTATATTTGGTCCTATCGCCATATTTTGATCTAAATAACCTGCCCTTAATCTATGTCCCAATAGTTATGAATCACCCTGTATATTCAGTCACTAGATTTTAAAGGCTAAAGGGCCCTACTCACCTCGTTCTTCTCCGCCGTTTTTAACCGACGGTTAAAAACGTCAGGGTAAAAATGTCACAAAAACGAGGTGTATGGGCAAGAACGTCGTTTATGAACGTCGTTCCAAAATTTCAGGCGAGTCTTGATTTTTGACGGTTATCGTGCCAACCGTTCGAGTAAACACGAGGTGTGTGTTCTCAACAGTTTGACTGGTCGGGCATCTATCAGTAGCAGTGACGTTCAGCATGTTTTTGTTGTTTATTATTATTATTTACAACTGGTTATAATAAAAATGTCGGATATTAGGCAGTTGAACAGAGATTTTTTATTAGAGTTTATCGAGCTTGGCAGGTTTCGGGTATTATGCGTCCTAGTGCCTGCGGTGAAATAATAACAGAAAACTTCAGATCCTCGTAGCTGCGGCCAGTGGCCAGAAACCGCAGAGTAGCTGTTAGGCGTTTGTGAGGACTGATGCATTCCCGTAAATGGGTGTTATGTCTCTCAATTAACGGTGTTACTAGTTTTAACAGTTTCCGATACGTATCCTCGTCCATCCTCAAGTAATTGTGCCAATCACCAGGCTCCAATCTTAGCTCCTCTAGTAAATTTGTTTGTGACAGTGTACTGCATTTAAGTGGCCAGTCTTTAGTCCATTTTCTTCGAGATTTTCTTTTTTCCCGATTTTTTTCCACTGCCAAAACCGCTGCCACTGCTGACAAACGGTCCATCGTGATAAACTGGCGCGAAAAAAGCTGTTGTACGTGGAGATATCAGTCAACGTTTTTCCTTTCAACGTTTTTAACCGTCGGTTAAAAACGGCGAAGAAGAACGAGGTGAGTGGGGCCCTTCTGTTACCAGTTTAATAAGTTTTTGTTAATTTGCTTTTTGTTGCAAATATGCTTGATGTAGTATATGGGTGGTTAAAACATGGGTAACATCATAAAAACACTTTATGAACTCAAACTAAGTTCACATAATGAATAGTAAAAAAGGGTGTGGCGATATGGACCATCGCAATAGACAAGTTATTAATTGCTAATGCACGAATGCAAGTCTGTTATGAATGTCTTTGTCTCACCGGAACGGCGCTGGTTCCAAGTAGAGGTGTGAATCTATTTTTTCTGCTAGAGGTAACCAAAAATATTTTAGAGCGCTAGGATGGAACATTTATTAAAAAATTTCTTTTATAAAATCCTTTACTCCCTCTCCCCAAGTTCCAAGTATTTCTATACAAAAAGTATTAATAGTTATTGTTTTCGAGAAACATTTTTAGTAATTTCGATTCAACACATACAAGAAAGTGTTTCATAGTCAACCATGATATAAATCAGTCGAAATTAAATTTATGATTTATAAGAGAAATTTTCATCTTACCCTCGTATCGATGATAACCAGTTATACCTTTTTTTTTAATGATCACTAAATTGAAAATATTGAATGGAGCAAATAAATAACTCATGTTTCTCGGGTACTTATCTTTTTTAGTTCAATTGAAATATATTTGGACACTTTGAATATCTTCATCAGAATAGCGTCCATTTTATATGAAGATAGGAAGTGAGATTTGAAATTTTGAGTCGTGATCATTCAAAACCTAACATTAAAATAACCCAGTCAGTCCCTTTGGTAACAATTTGGTTAAAACTGTAAATAAATTTTATCATCTCTTATTTTTCAGTTCGATTGCAATCTACTTGGACACGATCAATATATTCATTAGAATAGCCACTCTTTTAGCCGGAGGAGGTCAAAACAAGAGGAAATAGATTTAAATTTAAAATTATTTATTATTATTAATTTGTAAATAAAGGCATGTTATGAACTATTTAGAAATAAGCTCAAGTCACTGAACACATAGACACTACATATATTGTTATCCCACAAAGGCAATCTACTGGGCAAATATATCTTGAAGTTGTACCTATATATGTCTAGTGACTTGAGCTTATCTATATATAAATTTAGGTTAAGTAATTAGGCTAGACCACTAGACCTTTAAAATCAAATGTGGTAAAAATCTAATAATTTTATTTAATATTTTAATTTTCTCTATTATCGTTATTGTTTTCTATTATAAAATTAGAATAAATATATTATTTTTCAGTACTAGTTGTTTTTTGTCTGATTTATGTCATATAACTTCTTGAATCCTAATAGAATTTGAAAGATTACTTATTTTACGAATAACATTCAGTCGTAGTTCAAATACCAGTTATCATCAATCTAAAATAAATAATTTTTAATTGCATTCTTTGTGCTTAACATTTGATATTTGTATTTTTTTTACTTTCATTTTACCAAAAATAGACAAAGAGCCTGAATATGTTATGGCTAAGATGCCGGTATGTCGCGGTTGCTAAAACAAATTCTGATGCTTTGACAATCAGGTTTTACCTTTCGATTTTGTTTTCCTGGCTTCCTGAAGCAGACTCCTCTTCTTGGGCCTGCATGCACCGAACCTGAAGGGTGTAGACTGCATGGAAGGGCTGGTATTTGAATGTGCCGGGAAGGGTATTCGAATCATTACCGAACTACAATTTTACCATGAGTATGTGGACTTTACGGTAGTCAAAGCGATACTAGTGTACCCGGCTCAAACGACAAATTGTTCTTAACGGCGGTGGCTTGGGACACTTAACTACGGTAGTACCCTTCTAGCGAAATGTAATTAATAAAACTTAACGCGAGTAAAAGTGAAATATTACCTTTCATACTGGATGATAATAATTACTTTAAATATAAATATATTAGGTAATGTTGTAGTTGAAGGATCTGAAAATGCGCCTGTTGGCACCATTCCTGTTCCGGCTAGTTCTGACAATTGGAATCGTTACATAGTTGCCATATTATATTTAATAATTTGGAAACAGAGAATAAGCATATTGAAATAACTATTTTACTTTTAATCATCTTATTTACCAATTTTTACATCGATTAAAAATCCCATAAAAATAAAAAAATGTTCTGAAGATTTTCAAGTAATACGATTGTTATTTTTAATGTCAATAAGACCTTTATATTGATACTTACAAAATTCAAATTCTGGACGTCAGTGCAGAGTGGTGTGAATATGCGCATTTCTAGACCCGTCAACTATAAGATTACCACAATTTAAATAAGTGAAGACTTAACAGAACTTTGTAACCGCCTATCCCATACCCGTTTTTCTACCCTTTCAGGCATAGCACTGCTCCCCCCCCCCCGAGGGATTCCGGCAGACTGCCCCAATCAGGCTTGGGTCCAGCCACCGGCTCCCCTCAAACATGCTTTGGGCAAGCCTGCTTTCTTTCCTCTTGGAGTTCGCATAGCGGCACTGTAGCCCAGATAGCCTATTGTGCCACCATTTGGATGCCCTCCTCCTTCCCTTCAATTATCATTCATTCTACGTCATCGTTGGTTAAACGCTAGTAGGACTAGCCCTCACGCATCCAAGACGTGACCGAAGACGTCACTGTTTAACTGCCGCGAGATCGAGGATGCACAATAGTCTCGCAGCTCTAGCCTCTTCGGCCCCACAGTCCAGTGTTGCCAACCTTGAAGTAATCTTTTTCCCTTAAAAATTACCACTTTTATGAAAAAATTCCGCCCTGTTAACAAAATCGGTTTTATACCAAAAATACAAGCATGTAGGTACATATTTTCCAAAAAATATTTATTAAAAGACGAACGTACATAAAGTATAATCTAAAGAACATAACTCTTTAAAAAAACTTTAAATATACTGCAGGGTTGGCCAAACCTCTGTCGTAGTTCCATAACTCCTACTATGCAAATCTTAACGATTTATTTGATGTATACCTGTCAATGGCGGCCAATACCAAATATCCCAAAATTATTTTCTTGTGTACAGGGTGGCCCAATAGTAAATTAGGCAAATCACTTAATTTTTTTTTACAATTTTCGGTACTCTATAGTCACTAGTACATACCCACAAAATATTGTTTCTAACATCCCACCCTTTTCGCAGAAAAAAAAATTACCAAAAAATATTACATTTTCAGACGCCTATTAAAATATGCAGTGCTCTCTCGAATTTGATGTTAGAATTTAAAAAACTATAATTGTATAAAGCCAATAGAGCAAAGATTTTTTTGGACCAAGTTTGAATTTTTTATTTTGTACAGGGTGGTCACAAATTAATTTCACTTTCCAAAAATTTTGAGGGACATTTTTTAAAATTTTTCAAATGTATATTACCCTGTATTTCTATTCATCAACTGAAGGAGAATTTCATACCCTTCCACTTCCCTATGTACTTTCCTATACCTATCTGTCGCCGTTATAAAATAAATTCAAAAGGAAGAAAATTACGATAATAAAATTTATTTTAAATTTATCCTAAAACATAAATTTACATTTTATAAAAGATGCTCAAAATGTCTGCCATTTTCTCTAATGCATACATTTATTCGTTGGGCGAATGATCGAGAAACGTTTCTAAGCATATCAGGTGTAATGGAATGGAAAGCTTGCACTATCCTTTCTTTCATATTTTCAGGTGTTGTAGGTGGCGTAAGATAGACTAGATTTTTAATATAACCCCACAAAAAATAATCGGGTTTTGTTAAGTCAGGTGATCGAGCTGGCCATTTTTTTGGACCATTTCTACCAATCCATTTGGAAACTTTTCATCTAATTCATCTGCCACTTCGCGTAAAAAATGCGCTGCTGCCCCATCATGTTGGTACCACATTGTTAGTCTTACAGCAAGGGAAATGTTTACAAGTAAAGTAGGAAGATGATTTGCTAAAAAATCTAAATACATCAGACCATTTATACCTCCCCAAACATTTACACTCCATCTTTCTTGGCTATGTGTTCTGATGATGTTAGGATTTTCCGTGGAATAATAGTGGAAATTATGTCTATTAACGAATCCGTTCTTGTGGAATGTAGATTCATCAGAAAACAGCACTCTATAAAAAAAAAATGGATTTTGTTGCAATTTAGTTTGTGCCCAGTTACAAAACACCATTCTATTATCAAAATCGGTGTCTTTCAGCTCTTGATGCAATTGTATTTTATAAGGATGATATTGATGCTGTTTTAAAATCCTTCTAACGGATGTTCTACTTATACCTACTACTTCGGCAATCTTTTTTTGACTTACATGAGGATCTTCTATCGCTGTCAAAATTACAGATATTTGGTTATCATTATCAGTAGCACGTTTGTCAATTATTGGTTTTTTATAAGCAACATTTCCTGTTTCGGTAAATCTTTCATGTAACTTTTCAAAACTTTTTTGATCAGGGATGCGTCTATCGGGATATCGTTGATGATAAATTCTTTTTGCTAATAAACAATTTCTGTCGGATTCTCCCAAAACATAGACCATGTCAATTAATTCGTTTTTCGTAAAATTCATTATTAATAGAAGAATTATCGCGATCAGTAAAAATAATTTGACACTTCATTAATAAATAATCTGACACTTCATTAAGACCCAGCCTACTTGATTGAATGTTCACTTTCAATAAAACCACTGGTAGAAATTGGATTTTTGATAGATCAATGTCTTTTTGGAATTTACTTTTAAACGACGACAGATAGGTATAGGAAAGTACATGGGGAAGTCGAAGGGTATAAAATTCTCGTTTCATCGATGAATAGTAATACAGGGTGTTCTATTTGAAAAATTTGAAAAAAATGTCCTAGAAATGTTTGGAAATTGAAATTAATTTGTGTACAAAATAAAAAATTAAAACTTGGTCTAAAAAAATCTTTGGTCTATTGGCTTTATACATTTGCAGTTTTTTAAATTCTAACGTCAAATTCGAGAGAGCACTGCATATTTTAATAGGCGTCTGAAAATGTAATATTTTTGGTATTTCTTCTTTTTCTAAGAAAGGGGTAGGATGTTAGAAACAATATTTTGTGGGTATGCACTAGTGACCATAGAGTACCTAAAATTGGAAAAAAAGTTGGGTCATTCCATTAAAAAAAAAATAAGTGATTTGCCTAATTTACTATTGGGCCACCCTGTACACAAGAAAATATTTTGGGATATTTGGTTTTGACCACCATTGACAGGTATACTTCGAATAAATCGTTAAGATTTGCATAATAGGAGTTATAGAACTACGACAGAGGTTTGGCCAACCCTGTATATTAAAGAAATAACAATTTTAATTTTATTTATTTTTAAAATCATATATTTTTCACAATTTGGACTGAAGTAAAAAATTCCCGTTTTAAGTTAACTTTTTCCCTTTTGTGTTGAAAATTCCCGCAAAATGGGAAATTTCCCTCCGGTTGGCAACACTACCCCATAACCCTTAATTTTTGTTTAAATCTAAAATTTTAATATTTATTTGCCTTTCAATTTTATTTTACTTTAAGTTCTATACTTACTGTATTTGGCCATTTTCCTCTAGTAAGTATATATTTTTGGATAAGGACCCTTTTTTAGGATATCCATTTAAAACTAATTAGTGGAGATCTCTAATAAATAAAACACAAAACATAAATATATCGGAAACGTTTATTTAAAATTTTTTAATCGAAAAACCAATTTCAAAATCGTGCAGATCCGCTTAAAAATTGAGATTTTTGATTTTTACAGATTATAAGGAAAGTATGGGAATCATGATTTTTTTCGACCTCGACTTTTCGACGGATTTTTACGTTTTGAGGTCCCTGAATCCGTTTTATTTTCGCGATGATGTCTGTGTGTGTGTGTCTGTGTCCACCATAACTCATGAACCGATACACAGAAAAACACCAAATTTTAAACTTAAGCTTTGTTCCAGCGTCCAATAGCTGA